TGCTTTCCGGAAAGGGCGCCGGTCGAGAGTTCTCTTTTGGTTTGCTTCCCCCCCCGGTTTGGACGGCTGCAGGGCCGGCGAAGTCGTTTGCGATTGATAACGACGTCGCGCAGGGGCGGCGAACTAAAATTTGAGGATGTCGCGTGCGAAACGCTGTTTTTTTAAGTTCCGATCGATAAAACACAGGGTGCGTGACACATTTGGGTCAGGGGCACGAGTCTGTATGTTTTAACGTGAGTTCCCATAGATTGGCCTTCTCCAGGGGCCCGAATCCGTTTGTTCCCTACCTAGGCTCTGCCTAGAAGGGCTCTTACCTTATAAGCTTAAAGGGCCGGGCAGTGGGGCCCGCCCTGGGCGGTTCCCCCGGCATCCGCCCCGCGGTTCCCCCAGGATCCCCTGGTGGGAGCTTTAGCTTTAGCTTTAGCTTAGTTTTAGCTTCAGTTTTAGCTTCAGCTTTAGCTTCAGCTTAGCTTTAGCTTAGATTTAGCTTAGCTTTAGCTTAGATTTAGCTTAGCTTTAGCTTAGCTTCAGCTTAGCTTTAGCTTAGCTTTAGCTTAGCGCTAGCTTAGCTTTAGCTTAGCTGTACCTTAGCTGTACCTTAGCTGTACCTTAGCTTTAGCTTAGCTTTAGCTTAGCGTTAGCTTAGCGTTAGCTTAGCTTTAGCTTAGCTTTAGCTTAGTTTTAGCTTAGCTTTAGCTTAGCTGTAGCTTATATGTAGCTTAGCTTTAGCTTAGCTTTAGCTTAGCTTTAGCTTGGCTTTAGCTTGGCTTTAGCGTTAGCTTAGCTTTAGCTTAGCTTTAGCTTAGCTTCAGCTTAGCTTTAGCTTAGCTTTAGCTTAGCTTCAGCTTAGCTTTAGCTTAGCTTTAGCTTAGCTTTACTGTTACTACTAATGCTGCTTTCCTAGGGGCTCCAACTTCTAGGTAGGGTCGCACTGCGATAATTTTTACGTATGTTCCTATATATTGGACTTATCCAGGAGGCCCCACGAGGGTCCAGGTCACCCAGGGGGTATCTAACATGATTGCCCCGAGCTGGAACCCTTTGTTTTCGCGTGTCAGTCAATGGGGTATCTAACACGGTTGTCCCGAACTGGAACGTGTCCAGGCCATTCTGGGGGGTATCTAACATGGTTGTCCCGAGCTGGAACCACGTGTTTTTACTTGCCCAGGCCACTCAGGGGGGTATCTAACATGGCTGTCCCGAGCAAGGACCACGTGTTTTGACGTGTCCAGGCCCCCTAGGGCTGTATCTAACATGGTTACCCAGTGCTGGCACCACGTGTTGTCATGTGTCCAGGCCACCCAGGGGGGTGTATAACATGGTTGTCCCGAGCAAGGACCACGTGTTCGAACGTGTCCAGGCCACCCAGGGGTGTCTCTAATATGATTGCCCAGAGCTGGATCCACGTGTTTGTACGTGTCCAGGCCACCCAGTGGGGTATCTAATTTGATTGTCCCGACCTGGAACCTCGTGTTTTTACATGTCCAGGCCGCCCAGGGGAGTACATAACATGGCGTCGGGCCCGGCGCCGAATCATCAGGACACACACTGGGGGCCGAAAAGCGCTACCCGAGCACATATCCCAATCCAGAAAAGTAATGCTTTCTTGCAGAGCGAGGATGTCACGATCGGGAGCGCGAATTCAGCATATCCAGGCCACGCAGGGGGGTATCTAACATGGCTGTCCCGAGCTGGAACCACGTACCTATACGACCACCCTTCGGGTGATAAGGAGGTTCGGGGGGGAGGAACCAACGTCTCACTCGATCGGTCTCACTATCGATCTCACGATCGATCTCACTATCGGTCTCGCTCGATCGATCTCACCCGATCGATCTCACAATCGATCTCACTCGATCTATTTCATTCGATCGATCTCACAATCGATCTGACTATCGATCTCACAATCGCTCTCACTATCGATCTCACTATCGATCTCACAATCAATCTCACATTCGGTCTCACTATCGATCTCACTGTCGATATCACAATCACCGCCATCATCATCATCATCATCATCATCAACATCATCGTCATCAACGTCATCAACATCATCATCATCATCATAATCATCATCATCGGGACACCATCATCATCATCATCAATCACCTCATCACCATCATCATCAACATCATCATCACCATCATCATCGGGACACCATTATCGTCACCATTAGCATCATCATCATCATCATCATCATCATCATCACCGGGACACCATCATCATCATCAGCATCGGAACACCACCACCACCATCATCAACATCACCATCTCATCATCATCATCATGAACAGCATCATCAACATCATCATCATCATCGGGACACCATCATCATCATCAGCAACATCATCATCATCATCAACATCATCATCGGGACACCTTCGTCATCGTCACCATCATCATCACCATCATCATCCTCATTATCAGGACACCATCATCATCAACATCAGCATCATCATCATCGGGCCACCATCATCAGAATCATCATCATCACCTCATTATCATCTTCATCATCAACATCATCACCATCATCGGGACACCATCGTCATCATCATCAACATCATCGTCATCATCGGGACACCATCATCATCACCATCATCATCAACATTATCATCATCAACCTCATTATCACCATCATCATCGGGACACCATCATCATCATCTTCATCATCACCAGCATCATCTCATCATATCATCATCACCAACATCATCAGGATCATCAACATCACCATCATCGGGACACCATCATCATCATCATCATCAGCAACATCAGCATCATCAACATCATCATCACCAGGACACCATCACCACCACCACCATGGCCATCATCATCACCATCATCATCATCAACATTGTCAACATCATCATCATCATCACCATCATCATCATCGGGACACCATCAGCATCACCACCATCACCATCATCATCATCAACATCATCGACATCATCATCATCATCATCATCATCATCATCATCATCATCATCATCATCATCATCATCATCATCATCATCATCATCATGGGGACATCGACGGGACACCGGCGGGACACCGGCGGGACACCGCGCGGCACCGGCCCCTGGAAAGGAAACATTTGGTCCGGCCGCGCCTCAGCCGGAGGTGGGACACCGGCGGGACACCGCGCGGCACCGGCCCCCGGAGAGGAATCATTTGGTCCGGCCGCGCCTCAGCCGGAGGAGATTTTCTTCTCGCCCGCCCACGCAGCTTCGCCGCGCCCGCACGCACGGCACGCACGAACACGAAACCGAAACCGATTTCCCGGTAGGGGGGCTCTCCGTTCCACTTCGATTTCACCCCCTCACCTCCGATTTTTATATGTCCAGGCCACCCAGGGGGATATCCAACATGGTTGTCCCGAGCTAGAACCAAGTATTTTTACCTGTCCGGGCCACCCAGGGGTGTATCCAATATGGTTGTTACGTATGTTCTTCATTGGGATATGTGTTCGGAAAGCGCTTTTCGCTTCCCCCCGCCCCCCAGGACGCCCATGGAGGCTCGAGAGAGAAGTGAAAACACATGGTTCCTAACGCCGCAGGGCGGGAAAAGCGTGAAAACGCATGGGTTCGTAACGTAACGCCCCAGGGCGGGACAAACATGAAACACATGGGATTCTATCGCCCCAGGGCGGGACAAACGTGAAAACACATGGATTTCTAACGCCCCAGGGCGGGACAAACGTGAAAACGCATGGGTTCCTAACGCCCCACGGCGGGACAAACGTGAAAACACATGGTTCCCAACGCCCAAGGGCGGGAAAAGCGTGAACACATCGGTTCCTAACGCCCCTGGGCGGGACAAACGTGAAAACACATGGGTTTCTAACGCCCCAGGGCGGGACAAACGTGAGCACATGGTTTTCTAACGCCCCAGGGCGGGAGAAGCGTGAAAACACATCAGTTCCTAACGCCCCAGGGCGGGACAAACGCAACAACACATGGGTTCCGAACGCCCCAGGAGGCCCCAGGAGGCCCCAGCACAGCCATCGGCACGGTACATCAAGATCGATACACTCAGCATTGCAACCTGGCACGTTCCCTGGCACGTTCCGAGGCGCGTCCTGTGGCGAGTCCCCCTGGCACGTCGCGCGGCGCGTCCCCTGGCACGTCCCGTGGCACGTTCATTGACACGTTCCGTAGCGCTTCCCCTTGGCACGTCCCGAGGTGCGTCTTCGTGGCACGTCCCCTGCCACGTCTCCTGGCGCGTCCCTTGGGATGTTCCGCGGCGCGTCCTCCTGGCATGTTCCCTTGTCAATTAGCTCTGGGGCAGCTACTATGTGCTCAGGCAGCTCGAGCTTAAGATCCAGATCAGTTCGGTCAGGACTTGGATGCTAATGAGGAGTCGATCCACAGCACTGTAGAGCACAATCGCGGCATCGCGGCACGGCACATCGCAGCTCAGCACGGCGCAGCACAGCACAGCCCTCGGCACGGTACATAAGATCGATACACTCAGTATTGCACTTGCCCGTCGCCTAATCAGGTGTCTTTGAAACGTTGCCATGCTTTGTATTTCTATATTTCTTTCCGGGTTCGTGGGTCGACCATGTCTGCCGTCGAAGCGCAACAGCAGGTCAGAATCAAGAAGGGAAGGGGGCAGGAAGAAGGGGTTCCAGAGCCACCAGGCGAGGCGGAGGCGGGGGCGGGGGGGGCCTTCGAAAAAGGTTCGAAGTTTTCCCCGAGCTCTGAAGCTGCAGGACCGATGCGGGGCCCTTGAGAACCTCACGAGTCTTCCATCGAGTTCTCAGAGCTGCAAGAACTTTGGGGCACTGAACTGCGTGCTGAAGGCACGGTGGCGGATTACAGCATCAGTGATGCACCTGGGTTTACTCTGGACCTCCTGTCCCTTCCCCCTTCCCCCTCTGCCGGAAACCCAGCGGGGGGGGGCGCGGCATCGTCCATCCGCAAGCTCCTCCTCCTCGGCACGCTCCACATCCCCCTCCTGATCCTCCTCCCCCTCCCTGGATAAGCCTGGCAGAAGCCGAAGGACCGCAGAGCATCCACGGCGTCCATCAGCAAGTTCCGCAGCCTGCGCCACGAGGTCGACGCCGAAATCGGCGACATCCAGGCAGAGTCGACCGCGGAAGCCAGGACGGCGTGGGTCAGGGCGCTATCTCGGCGGCGTCCGCCGCCCGGCCGTCGACGGTGTGCTTTTCCTGGAAAAGGCGTGGGCCCAGGGTTCTCTTTTAGTTTCCCAGAAAGGGCGCGGGCCCAGGGTTCTCGTTTAGTTGTGTGTTCCCCACGTTTTCCGCCGGCGAAATTATTTGCGATAAATGACGAGGTAAAGTCCCATTCGGCGTGGAAAAATTGAGGATGTCCTTAGCGAAACGCGTGTTTGGCTTCCGCTGGCGAAATTATTTGCGATCAATAATCAGGTAAAGTTCCATTCGGCGTGGAACAATTGAGGATGTCCCTAGCGAAACGTGGGTTTTATACAGATTTGTTGAGGATGCCTCAGGCGAAACGCTGGTTCTTCAGAGTTGAGGGATGTCTCGAGCGGGGGCTTCGTCGGGGCCCAGAGTTCAGAGGATGTCTCAGGCGAAATGTTTGTTTTCACGTGCCCATGTCGCCCAGGGGGTATCTAACATGGCTGCCCCTAGCTGGCGCCCCAGACGACCGCATGTTAGATATCTCCCCTGGGTGGGCTGGAACCAGGTGTTCTCACGTGTCGAGGCCACCCAGGGGGGTATCTAATATTGCGGTCCCGAGCTGGAACCACGTGTTTCACGTGTCCAGGCCACCCAGGAGGTGTCCAACATGGTTGTCCCGAGCTGGAGCCACGTGGTTTTACGTGTCCACGCCACCCAGGGGGGTATCGAACATGATTGCCCTGAATTGGAACCATGTGTTTTACGTGTCCAGGCCGCCCAGGGGGATATCTAACATGGCGTCGGGCCCAACGCCGAATTATCAGGAACCGCACGGGGGGCCGAAAAGCGCTACCCGAATACAGATCCCAATACAGAAAAGTTATGATTTCTTGTTCCCAACCATCCTGGTGTTGGGTCTTCGTTTTGAACAGACAGCGCCCCGCGTCCCTCCTTCCTCCCGCTGCCTCCTCCCCCTCCTGGTCCTCCCTCCTCTCTCCCCCTCCGCACACCCTTTTCGGCACACCCCTCACACGTTTCGTGGCCCCATAAGGGGGTTCCACCGAAGGTCCCAGTGGGTGTGCCCGCATGCGTCCCGCACACCCATTTCGGCACACCCCTCACACGCTTCGTGGCCCCATAGGGAGCTCCACCGAAGGTCCCAGTGGGTGTGCCCGCATGCGTCCCGCACACCCATTTCGGCACACCCTCACACGTTTCGTGGCCCCATAGGGAGCTCCACCGAAGGTCCCAGTGGTGTGCCCGCATGCGTCCCGCACACCCATTTCGGCACACCCTCACACGTTTCGTGGCCCCATAGGGAGCTCCACCGAAGGTCCCAGTGGGTGTGCCCGCATGCGTCCCGCACACCCATTTCGGCACACCCCTCACACGTTTCGTGGCCCCATAGGGAGCTCCACCGAAGGTCCCAGTGGGTGTGCCCGCATGCGCCCCGCACACCAATTTCGGCACACCCCTCACACGTTTCGTGGCCCCATAGGGAGCTCCACCGCAGGTCACAGTGGGTGTGCCCGCATGCGTCCCGCAAACCCATGTCGGCACACCCTTCACACGTTTGGTGGCCCCATAGGGAGCTCCATCGAAGGTCCCAGTGGGTGTGCCCGCATGCGTCCCGCACACCCCTTTCGGCACACCCGTCACACGTTTCGTGGCCCCACAGAGGCTCCACCGAAGGCGTTCTCGTTTGGAAAGGCTAACGGAGGTGCCTCGGCATTTCCGAAGCGGGCGCGATCCTCGTGTGGGGCGTGCCGACATGGGCGTCGCGGCGCGCGGGCGCTGCCGTCGGGGTTCCCAGGGAAGCCCCCTGCAGAGGCTACGCCACACAATTCGGCACACCTTCATACGGTTCGTGGCCCCATAGAGAGTGCCACCGAAGAAGATATTCACAATTGCGGTACTCACAACTGCATATGGTTGGGTCCTTCGCCAGGATCATTTTCTTGCTCTGGACAGGGGGTGGCGCTTTGGGGATACAAGACCAGTTCCGCCGAGGATCGTTTCCGCCAGAACCGGTTCTGCCGAGGACCGGTTCCGCCGAGACTGGTTCCGCCGAGGTCCTGTTCCGCCAAGGACCAGTTCCGCCGAGGACAGGTTCCGCCGGGACCGGTTCCGCCGAGGACCAGTTCCGCAGACGCCTGGTTCCGCCGCGCGAGGTGCGCCGCGGGCACGGCCTGTGCGTTGGCCGCGGCGGAATCGGACCGGGCGGAAGCGGACCAGGCGGAACAGGATCGGGCGGAACAGGACCGCGGCGGAAGCGGACCAGGCGGAAGCGGACGCGGACGCGGATGGGCACGTTTGCCCATCCATCGTTAACACAAGAAGTTGGCCCAGGGTTGTTTCAAGGACCTTCCAGGAAGCTGGTCCAGGTTTCTTAACCGATCATTTGATTGGTCTTGTTTCTGGCTGTATATGCAGGTGTTGCAGTCCGGCGCGATCGCATTCGGCTTTGAATTATTTTCGCGTGGTCTCCCTTGCCTTTTGCATTACATTAGTTTCTGCTGGTGCGCTTGCTGTCTAGGCGGTGCGTCTCCCTGTCATGTCCCAAGGATCAGGATGCAACTCCTGGGCGATTGAGGTCAGCATCAGCGCTGGTACATCCGTGGTCGAAAGCCGGCACAATCCAGCACAATCCCGCTTCACTCCGCTTGATAATTTCCCATATGGTTCAATCTTGGGTTTACTTCGGGCGAATCTGGCTTGGTGGTCCCTCCATCGGGCTTGATAGCCCTTGCTCGTTCTCGCGAAGACCTTCCAACATTGGATTCCCCAGTGCCCCGCCCTGCCCCGAGGACCGTGCGGCGCGTCGCCACCCACCAGCCGAGGTCGGCCACCCTGCCGCAGTCGGCCCGTTCGTCCTGGCCTCAGCACGGCAGCTGGCGCCGGGACGTCTCACCGCTGGACGACGCGGCGGGGGAGGCACCCTTCGGGGTGCCAGGATGATCGAGGTTCGAAGGCTCGAAGGTTCGAGGGTTGAAGTGTTTGGGCGTCCCTGGCCTTTCTTGGGCCTCCTCGCTGCGACGGCTGGATCCGCCTCCAAACTTCGGCAAGGACGTGCCCCAGGAGGGGCCCATGGGGGTTATGACTCGCGGATCCCCCCTCGCGCCGCGCCCCCGCAACAGAGAGCTTTGCTTTGTCGCTCCAAGCTGCGACGACTCGGAGGGAAAACGCTGGGGGGCTTGTTGAGTATTGAACAGATGTAGGTGATGGGGATGTTGATGAGGATTTCGATGATGGTGATGATGATGATGATGATGATGATGATGATGATGATGATGATGATGATGGTGGTGGTGATGATGATGATGATGGTGATGATAATGCTGCTGATGATGATGGTGATGATGAGGAGGAGGAGGATGGTGATGACAATACTGATGATAATGATGCTGATGATGATGATCCTGATCACGACCATGATCATGATCATCATCATGGTGGTGCTGCTGCTGCCGATGGTGATGATGATGATGATGATGATGATGATGGTGGTGCTGATTATGATGATGGTGATGATGATGCTGTTAACAATGATAATGGTGGTAATTCGATGATAGTGGTGACGCTGGTGGTGAATATGATGATCATGATGATGGTGGTGGTGGTGGTGATTGTGATGGCGATGGTGACGGTGATGGTGATGATGATGATGATGGTGAGTGTGATGGTGATGGTCATAATGATGGTAGTTGTGAAGATGATGACGATGATGATGATGATGATGCCGATGATGATGATGATGATGATGATGATGATGATGATGATGATGATGATGATGATGATGATGATGCTGATGCTGATGCTGATGTTGATGCTGATTCTGATGCTGATGCTGATGCTGATGCTGATGCTGATGCTGATGCTGATGCTGCTGATGATGATGATGGTTTTGTCTCACTTGTCATCTCATTAGCGATTGAGCGCCGCGAGGGTTTATCCTCCGAAACGTTCTGGCTCAGTTCTCTCGCGAGGTCTCCGAATGCTGAGCCCCCGCGCGCTGGGCGGGCTGGGCGTCGCGCACTTCGCCGGGGTGTTCCTGGCGCATCTCGCGGCGCAGCCCACCCCCCTGGCGCCGGAGGAGGCGCCTGTGCCCAGCCCCGCGTCCGCGGGGGTGGACAGTGGCGCCGCGGCGTCGCGGGACCTCCAGCAGGTGCTGTCCACCCTGCAGGAGGCGCTGGACGACTGCCTGGCCTCGCAGGCGCCTGTGTGCCCGAGCCCCTGCCCCGAGTGCCGCTGCGAGTGCGGGGCTGGGGCGTCGGCGTCGCCAGGCTGGTGGCGCGCGGCCCTTGAGCTCGTGGTGGGGGCCGCGGTGCTCCTCGGCCTCGAGCTCTTCCGCGGCTGCCTGGGCTGGGCCCGTTGGGCCTGCGCAGGGGGCCCGCCGTGCGGCGGCCCTGCCGTCGTCAAGGCTGGGCGAGGCGGCTCCGGGCACGCCTGATCCGCGGGTGCCGAGGGGAGGCGGCCAGTATCGATGAATGTCGGGGATGAGATTTGGGTGGAGTACGACGTTGACCCTCCACTTCTTCATGCTCGGTTTCTGCTGGTGGGCTCCGCTCGCGTTCCAGGTGCTTTCTCGGTGCTCACCCCTGACATGGACGTGTATGTCGAGGAGTACTCCTCAGCGAACACGGACGTGCGTGGGTACTACTACCTCAAGCAGCCCCGTGGGGTCGGGGCCCTGGCAGTGGCAGCGCCAGGTGGACGGGCTCACTACGACTTCGCCTACCTCCCGACCGCCATGCAGATGGTCGGGGTCTTCCAGGAGGCGCAGGTGGCCGTGGCGAGTTTCGAGGGCGAGCGGCTGGGCGTGGTCCCTGCTGGCGGAGTGCGAGGCGGCGGCGCTGGCGGAGGGGCAGCCGCGGGGCTGCTGGGCGCCGGCGCGGCCGCTGGCCTGCCCGCCGCCCTCGGCGGAGGCAGAGCCGCCGCTGTCGCAGGGCCCCCTGCCCTGGCCGCCCCTGCAGGCCCCGGCGGCGCGGGCTGCCTTGGCGCGGGAGGCGCGGCCGGCGGTGCCGCAGCCGCGGGCCCAGCAGGTGCCTTGGTCGCAGCGGGTGGCGGCGCCCCCGTTGGAGCGGCGCCTGCGCCCGCCGCTGGCGGCCTGGCGGGTCTCGCCGCCGCGCTGGCGGAGGCCCCCGGCGCCGCTGGTGATGGGGGCGCTGGGGCCGCGGCTGCGGGCGGGGGAGGCGCAGATGACTTGCGTACCTTGGCGGTGCGGTATGATCCTCAGGGCCAGCGATACCTAGAGTTTCGGGAGGCTGTTCAGAGTGGCCAGTTCCCGGACCACGGACTTTCCAGTGGGTCGCAGAGTACCAGATGGAGCACGGAGGGACTCCCATGGGCCATCATGTGGCCTGGAAGGCGTCCCTGGGGGCCTCGGTCGGCCCCGAGGACCCAGTCGTCCACCTGCATGCGGAGTTCAGCAAGCTCATGCAGACGATGTGCACGTATGACCAGTTCGACGGGGCGAACCTGGCATGTGGAGAGCTGGCCGCACGCCAGCGCCAGCTGTGCGAGGAGAAGTACAAGGACAAGACTTTGGCGCAGCGTGGCGGGCGGCGGGCTCCAGCAGGATGAAGGGTATTTCTTCACCGACATGGGGTCGACGCGGGGCATCATGGTCAGCCCCGGGCTCACCAAGTGGGTGGCGGAGCGCTTGCAGGCCGAGAGCAGCATCGCCAAGGAGCGCCGCAAGGCGCGGGAGGAGCGGCCCTGTGGTCCCTTGATGCTTAAATCAAGCATCGAGCGCTATGTTGCTTAATCAATACAGATTAAACATCATGTCCTTGCTTCTGTAGAAAAGTGTTAAGTGTTAGCAGTTTCGGACAGCCGAGCGCTGAACACGTTCTGAATAAGGCAAAACCTCCCCGAACCCCTCGCGCTGTGAATCAGATGTCCGCTGACGTTGTTTTTTCTTTCATTCATTGTTGGCATGCGCGCTTGACCCCCTTCGCGAGGAGACAACAAAAAAAGGAAGAGGGGGGCAGGGGAGGAGGGAGGAGGGAGGAGGGAGGAGGACGAAGCGGGAAGCAGGGGGCGAGGAGGAAGGGGAGGAAGACGACGCCCAATCAAACAATCACAACTGTAGACGGCCATGTTGGCTCAAACGGCGAGCACAGCACTGCGCATCAGACTTCGGTATCCAACATTGAATGCCTGGGAAGAAAAAGCAAAATATTGCAAAAGAGAACAGGGAAACGTATCAAGGAACTCCGAACGACTATTTCAAATCTGTTCTTGAGCCGATCGCAGAGAAGAAAAGCCGAACTTTAGTGAAGTACGGGTGCGAGACTAAATCAACCAGCAGAGCGACTGTTGTCACATAAGACATGGCAGTGAATATTGAGTTTTTACAAAAGGAGCACGACATTCAGCCAAACTTCAGGTTCCAAAGAAGCAAAGTAAAGTCGGCTCTCAGTATGTTGCTGGGCACGAAAAAGAATTTCAGCATGGCCGCAGAACAAGTGGATGACTGGAACGAGACAATGGAGAATCTGATCATGAATCGAAACCATGTTGTATCTCAGGCGGCTTCAAAAAACAGCCACCAAAGTGGCATCAACAAATGCCTTGGGTGGGTTCGGAACCAATTGAGGCAACGTCGGCCAAAGCAAAAACGTCATTGTCTCATAAGCCAGCAGAGTACGTCGTGAAGAACGGCTCCATTTACGAGTTTAATTGGGACGCGTGCCTGGGCTGGAGGCGCAAACAGGGCACCCAAGGTAAGGGCGAGGCGAGCTTGGCGATAAATCCAAATAAGGTGCCAAGCAGTGGCGCTGCCTTGGTGACCGTGGAGTGGCCAGATGGGGGCGAGATGAAGTTTGCAGAATTAACAGCTGGGTCATACAAGTTGCGGCATCGACAGACGAACACAACAAGAACATCGACTATTTGGGAAGCGCCCCACGTGAAAACAAAGCATCGGATCTGTCTGGCCCAGAGGGTTGATCGCACTCTGCTGCTCTCGCAGCGCGAGCAGGGTCACCAGGTCCTCGCAGTCAATATGAACATCTGGGGTGCGATCGAGAACGAGCACGAGCAAGTGTGTCCCCCCCCCCCCCCCCCGCCTACAAGGGCGCAGTCGAGTTCATGATTCCCATCGCCAAAGACTTCGCTGCGAACAAGATCAACAAGGGCGACCTCGAGATCCATCGCGACAAACTGCTGACGGACCTCGGCTTGAAAATTTCCGGCCGTCGGGCCAGGGCAGTTCTGCGCAAGCCTGCTTCGGCCGCGGCGACGGGCGCGCCGACCGGGAAGGAGGGCGACGCCAGTGGGCCCGTCAAGGGCTCGGCGGCTCGCAAGCGCCCTGCTGCGGCGGAGAGTGGGTCTCGCGACAAGGAGCAAGGCTGGTGGCGAGAAGACGGGAGCGGACAGCGACAATGACGCCGTTGGCGATGGAAAAGCTCAGCGCTGTTCAGCGCCTCCAGAGATGGACGCGCTTGATTTGTTCAGGAGCTCGTAGATCTACATGCGCTTGCTCGCACAGATGCCGAAAACTCACGTTGAGTGCAACCGTGGTCGAGCCAAGAAAAAACATCGTCACCATCATCATCATCATCACCGCAACCATCATCACAAACATCCTCGGCAAAATGACAATCATCACAATCACCATCGCAATTCTCACATTCAACATCACAATCATCATCACAAGCATCAGCATCACAATCGTCATCATCATCATCACCATCATCAGCATCATCATCCGAAACGGCGACGCGTCTAATGATGCGGTGGGCCCCCGCGGGACCCGCCGTTGCCCGCAACCACGGGCCTCGGGTGGCATGTCTCGCGATGCGTGCCAGGGGGGGCGCCAGGTGACGTTCCTCAAGTTTTCGGCCCTCGATCCTCTTCGATATTCGTCGGTCTTCGATCATCCTGCTCTCGAGCCTCGATCCTCCTCGATCCTCAAACCTCGATCCTGGGCCCCCCTCGATCCTCGACCCCAG